ATTGTAGTACAAGTATTTAAAGTATATTTTTAGTGTTTATTTTTGTTACCGTAAATGTTGTGTAACCAGCGTATATATCAAAAAATACTATATATTACAAATATGCCAACAAATATATATGTCCATGTAAATTTGACCAATTTATCTGTCTGTCTGTACGTATGTAGAAGTTGCTATATAAACTGTAAAAACGTTTTCTTCTTCCTTTTATTTTCAATCATTTGCCAATTATTTTTTTGTATATTGAGTTGCTTGTGAATACCCATGTTTTTACTTTGCTTAACCTTTTATCTGTCCCCTTCCTTTCCCCTCTACTCCCATGATATTTATTTGACTTGATATTTCGCATACATTTCTTCTTTTGCCAATTTTTTTTATTTGTTTTCTCATTTTTTTCCATTTATTGAGTTTTTTTTTTCAATATTTTAAATTCAGCTTTTTAATTCTTCTGTCAATTATTCAAGTGACATTTTAATTCGCTGTTGTCCAGTATCGTATTGTGTAACATGACAACAAAAAATTAAAGAAATCCGCTATATTTTTTTTTGCTATCGCGCCGTGTAGTTGCTTTAAATGTGAGTTGTGAATATGCGGAAGAGAATTACAATTGCAATCATTTGTGTTCGAAAAAGGCATGTAAAAATTCCATTAACTTATGAGAATATCTACCAGAGAAGTAATTATTGTACAGGTCACAAAAAAATATGTCGAATTTTAATTAAATTGAGTTCAGAGGTGTATTTTGGGAAAGGTTGAAATAAATTTACAGTGCACTTCGTTTATAGTCCACTATAAATATACAATAACTTCAGATATTGTTAAACAAATAATGCAATACATCATATATACTAAATGTACTATAAGCGAACTCCACTCGATTTAATTTTGATACGTGAAATACGAGAAACAAGTACAGATTTGACCGTTTAAAAATTTAGATACCCCCATCACGAGAAAATATTAAACATTTGGTTCCAAAATCTGGTATATACACTATAAAAAAATGCCAAAATATCTTTTATTCATTTGAAAGCCGTGGACATTCTAAAGCCAGAAAATCGGCAAGGAAGAAACTTAGAAAAAGTAGTCTTTGTATTTGGTTTTCATAAACTTCTGGGTATTTTGTTTGTGGAGTCCTTCGGTTTTTCCATTCACGAAAAGTGTCATTTCCTAAATTGGGTTCGGGAACTTGAAAAGGCTGGGCTGTGACAAAGGAAATTTTCTAACGTTTCGCTGTCTTCCCCACAACAGTTGATTCCTAATAAATTCTGATTACTTGCTTTGCAGTGCTTCCTCCACGAACAACTTTCATTGAGTTTCGTCCTCGAAGATCAACGCAGTCGATTGTTTTTTTTTTTTTTTTTTTTTTTTTTTTGAAGTAAACGCCTATCAGCATCTTTCACAAAAACGTTTCTTCTATCTGACCCTTGTTCGAAGACTCACACAGTCAATTGTAGTTTTACCTCGTTTACAAAACCTCGAAATATTCCAAAGAGATCCCTGAAGTATGCATTTGTCTCTCTGTCTGTTAAAATCACGATAAAGCCTGCAATATTTAAGATAGGGCTTATGATGGTTGGTATGGAAAATGGAATAAATCGGTCACCTTTTAGTATAGGCTCCCTTTGACGATACCCTCAAATAGGTATGATCAAATACATTTTGATCACCCTTTTCAACCTCATTGGTATTTTAGGTTCTCATTGTTTAGCAAATCTTCCTAAATCCCAGATTTCGATATTTTGGGGGTTTGTCTGCAATTAAGATAAAGTTTTCAACCAAAATTTAAAATTTAGAATTCGTAGCAGGGAAGCAAATCTTCCTACGAACATGTTCCAGCGACAAATGTCAGTATTTATACACTCAAGCTTATGGCTACACTTTAATGCGGCAAATATGTGTCTCATCGAAATATTAGTTTTAGACCCCATGTTTCTTTGGACCAAATCCTTTTCAGAAAATTTTGAGTTTATTTACAAATGTCCGTCCGCCTGATTAGCCGGCTGGTGTGTAGGGATGCGAAGTGATTAACCGATACCATACACACTTTATATATCGTAATATTTCTTCCAAACATAATTCAAGTTCAAATATGGGGAATATCGGTCCACTTCTTCTGGTACCTCCACCAAAAAATGTTCAAAATGTTGCTGAAATCAATTTTTGAATATCATGCCAACCTATTATCTTTACCAAGCCTAGGTCAATTCCGAAAATGCGTCCGATAGCACAACACCTTCTGGTACTTCCCCCACGAATGGTCAAAATTTTCTATATTTGTAAATCCTATATAAGTCGAATGGAATGTCCGATTTGAATCATACATTTCACAACCTATTATCTTTACCAAGCCTGGATCAAGTCCGAAGGTGGGACCCATTCTGGCGCCTCACCCACAAATTTGAAATCTTTAAAAAAACATTGCCAAACTATTATCTTTACAAGCCTAGATCAAGTCTGAATATGGGACTAATCCTTATGGTACCTCCACCGCAAATGGTTACATTTTTAATGTATATAATTTAAGCAAACCAAACCAAGTTTAGATCGAGTGCGAAGGTGAGACCCGTCGATCCTCTCCTTATTGTATCTCCCACACAAAGGGTCTATATTTTATAAACTTGTAAATTTTACCTGTGAGTGATTCCAAACGCAATTTTTTACTTGTTTTGGTATTCATTGTGTGGCAAATCTTCCTACCAAAAATTGTAAATATCGTTAGTCTTTTTTTTAATAATTTTATGGTCCTAGATATATTCCGCATTACGAAGTGGTAGCGTTTTTGGCATTGCAGGAACTTGATGGGCTAACAACTTCTTTATAAAGCAGTGTCAGTTCATGATTCTGATTGTCCTCATTACAAGTCTCTCGCGTCAAATGGACCTTCAAGGTCCTAATTTGCCAATCTGATTGCCTTTAGATGGGTATTTCAATTTATCCTGGCAGTACAGAAAAATTCCCACCCAATTGTGGGCGACTTCGACTCAGCGAACTTAACAGAATTTTTACTTGTTTCTTTCTTTTGTGCCCAAGCGAGTACAACGGCTGGAAATGGGTTAAACAATACATCACAAAAAATTACAGAACAAAAAAACTTCTCTGAAACTAGGATGTTTATACAAAATTGCTATGGTTATAAGATTTTTTTAAGTAAAAACTCAGCACAAATAATAACCCATGTCGCAAAGGACCGCTTAAAAATTGGTAATTGTAAAAAACTACTCTAATTTGTCTACAGAAACCCCACAGCCATTTTTAGTTAATTTTTTAATGTTTTTTTTTTTTTTTTTTAATTTAATTTAAGAACATGACCAATGTTTGTTATTTATGTGTCAAATCAAAGACATTCTTAATTCTAAAAAACGTGGACTATTTTGTATGAAAACTAGTTTCCAATATTTGTTAGGGTAACGCTAATGTCCAGTCCTCAAAAAAATCATTCGCCGTTTTGTTTAAATACTCGCCTACAGAAAGGGAAATCAACACAAATTCTAATATGATTCTAATTTGATATATATTAACCCGAATCAGCCCAGTGCTACCATATGGTCACACACACATAATCTCTAGGACCTTCATAAATGCCCTATGAAATATTTCCGAAAAACCACACCCAAAAATTATATGAATATGGAATAAAATTTTTCTAAAAAAAAAAAATTGTTAGGATTTAAGTAGAGAAATTTTCAACAAATACTCCACTAATATTTCAAACTATAAATATAACACCATTAACAAAAACGACTACACCCACATATATAGATATATATAACTCTATTATCACTTCAAATACTAAACCCACAAAAAAAAAAAAACTCCATACACCAACACTAATGAAAAAAAAAATTAAATGATTTTTTTCCTATTTTAATTAATCAAATCATTGTCATGCATTATTGCCATATTCACAGATACGTATTCTAAAAAAAAAAAATCAGGAATCAAAAAAAAAATTGAACTAATTAAATCAATTCATATTGAAATAAATTCTTTTATTTCAAACTTCGAAATAAAATGAATAAAAAAAACCTTAGAACATCAATAGAAATAAACAAATGGTTTTTATAACTACAACATTTTATTAAATTAAAAAATAAAATATATATTCTATTTTATTATATAGATAACTACTATAAAAAATAACAACTATTTTTCATGATATGATTTTTTATTAAATTATATTTTTTTATTTTCTTTTAATTTCTTTACATATTTCAAACGAAAAAAAAATAAAAATCATCAATATGATTTGTTGTTTTTGTTGTGCCATGATTGTAATTGATGCGCTCTGATATATACGATATACATTATACATCTATATACATATACTACTACTCTGCGAATGATGAATGGATAAAATATTTATATTTAAAAAATGTATAATTTTGTTGCTGTGCATGCTGTTTTACTTTTATTTGATGGAATGCAACCTGTAAAACATTTTTTCTCCCCCCGCCCCCTATCTCACAACAACTCAATCCTGATATTGCAATGGCTCGTGGTTATGATGTGTGAACTGCTGCTAAATGAAACGATTTTCAAATAAAAAACAAAATCCTCCTATCAAAAATCGCCATAAAATACTGCTGCGGTTCCACATTGCAACGAGTTTGAACAAAATTCTCATTTGTCGTTACCTTTGTTTCGTTAAATTGTTTGATATGTGAATGTATCATAAACTAAACTAAAAAAATCAACTGCATTGTGCATAAACATGTATGTATATATTTAATATTTAACAATCGTATATATCCCCTTTTTTATTATTGTTATATACATATATATATATATAAAATATTTGTAACTTTTTGTAATTTGTTATATTTATAATATGATTTGAGTAATATATTGAGATTTTTGAAACACGTTTCTATTACACCCTTATTTTAATATTTTTATGAAATATGTTTAATAATTTATTTTCCGTATTCTCTTTTTGTTCTCCTACAACTTTTGATTGGAATTTGCAGCTGTTTTGCTTTTCATTCCTGACATGGCAGCTGTTGGACCATGTCCTGTTTAATCCAGCCTTATGGATTTATACACCGGCCAATGTCCAGGCCCGTTTATATTCATATCTGGCCACCGAATTTCTAAGCGATACACAGATCTACAGCAATGTCCGTCGTGTCAGCACTGTCCTCCAAACGGTGCATACATTGAAATATTATTATTGGGTTGTGAATCCACGTGCTAAAAGTGGTATTGTACCAAAGGGATTGGGTAAGTAATTGAAGTTGTATTTTATTAAAAAATGAGTATAAAATAAAAATTTTAATTTTTTAAATAAAATGACCATTAAACGAAAAATCAACAATATATAGAAATCATATAAAAATTTGCTCAATATTTAAAAATTATCTAAACAAGTAAAAATATTATTATGTTCGCCGGGATCTATCTCTGTCGGGGCCTTTATATCGCGGTTATTTCGAACATGGCATATTTTCTATTTATATTTTTATTGCGCTTTTATATATTAGGTTGCGGAAAAAAAATCCATTACTTTAATATAAAATATAGAACTTAATTTAACATGCTTCGGATTGTCCGATTTGAGCCAATGCACCATTTTATTATATGATTTGTTTCCATTTTAAATGCATTTCTCGATTATTTCTCCGATTTTCTCGACATTTTCAATGACCGGCCTACCTGTGCGAGGTGCATCTTTTACATCAAAAATTCCTGAACGGAATCTACGAAACAAAATTTGCTGTTACAGTATCGGAACCATAAACACCATTCACAATTTTAGCCGCTTGGCTTACATTTTCGTCTTTGTTAAAAAAAAACTGTAAAATGTACCGAATTTTCTCTTTGTTCACTTCCATTTTTAACACCCTTTAACTCACAAAATAATGCACCAAACAAAAACAGGAACCTATTTCTTTTAATGAGAAATGGTGACATTTAACGAGCATAAATCTGAAATTGATTAATCGATACTTTACGAGAAATCTATCAGTACAGCCATCTGCATTTATTTTTCCCCAATATTTCCCCCTAATATTTCTGGTACATTTTATAATAAAAATCACCTCGTATCACTTCACTTCAAAATACCGAAAATGGAAATTGTCTGCGAAGAATTTTTCAACCTACCACGAAGCCGGAAAGCCTAATTGCAGCCATATCAGTTGAAAATACGTTTATGACTATCAAAATTACAAAAATTGGACGAGACCGGTATAGACCGTCGGAACAATCGACTATGACCATCAATAACGGACCGACCTAAGATACCCTACACAACTACCAGTGAAATCTAATTTCCTGGAGATCTGTATTCCGAGCTTGTATCGCGATTTATGTACCCTCTTAATTGATAAGAGGTCAACAGGTCCTCTTTCCTACCCAGGAATATATTTTCCGAATCATGTTTTCCCGGAGTAAACTATGCGCTATTCAAATTTAGTTATTTTACACGCAAAAGTCTTGGTTCTATATAAATAGGACCCTAGGTAAATAGTTGGCCAGATCCTTTCCCCGTGTAAAATTTTTGATGTTCGGCTTATAATAGTGAACCTAGAGCTACCATACAAACCATACAGAAAAAAGTTGTTGGTCCATTCAATCCCCTAAATATCATCTGATCATCACCGAAATTTATAGTTGTTACCATTGACCATAACCGGATGTACAATTTCATAGCTATCCTCGCGACATTGTTGCCATCTATTGTGATAATCGTAATACTAACAAAATCAAAATACGTAGGCACCTTATTATCTTACTATAACTTATATTATTATCTTACTATAACTCCACATCCGATTAAATACAATAATATAACCACTCCTCTTGGATATACTATCAACAGATCGGGACTATGTCCTTCTGGAGTAAATATATACTGTATAGAAAATAAATTTTGCAATTTTTCACACAAAAGTCTGGGTGCATTTGAACAGCTAAATATTGACCGATCTTCATGTAATGTTCGGGCCATAACTGTAGCCCTAGAGCGACCAGAAAAACAGACAAAAATAAACTTGTTGGTACATTTCATTCCCTAAATATTAAACGATCATTGCTAAAAACAGCAGGGGTCTTCTTTGGCCCGGACCCTTCCTATATACAATTTCCTGGTGGTTGTTCCATAGGTGTGGCCTATATCGTGTTTACAAATTATAATGGACAAACGGACGGACAGTCGGACACACATGTCTGGATCGATATATGACGATCGGTGTACTAAATGGTTAGTCTAGGACCAATATTTCGCAGCGTTACAAACTCTTGGGGCCGCACAAAACTATAACCTTTGAAAACGTTTCCATTGTGGGTAATGACTTTTGACAAGACATTCAATTGTTTTCCCTGTATAGCTATGCACTTGTTAAAGTTTATCGGCATTTTTAACACTAGATTGCCGAAGGCGGTCATTTTGACCGTTTTTCAATTTCAAGTACAAAAACAACTGTGTATATAATGACTCAGCTTTTTAAAATTTGGTGATTTTTTATAATAAACGTAATTCTATGTGGTACAAAAAGTCACCAAATTGGAAAAAAGTGTCATTATATGCACAGTTGTTTTTGTAATTGAAATTGAATAGCGGTCAAAATGACCGCCTTCGGCAATCTAGTGTTAAGATTTTGGTAACATATCGAAATGTGTCATACAACAGTCAGTAATTTGATATTTTTTATTTAATTAAGGCCCATCCTTTTTTTTGTATAACTTCCAATTTGAAGTTTTAGTCTGTAAGGTTCTTATTCAAGGTCGAACCGATCGGAATTTAATGCTGTCGTTTCATTACTTCACCTGACAATTTTTTTTATATTATTTTTTTCTTTTCAGATGGTCCACGTCCAGCCCAAAAAGATATTTTAGCTATACGTGCATATATTTTATTGTTTCTAAAACAATTGATTATGATAGGCCAAGGTGTCAAAGAAGATGAATTGCAAAGCATTTTAAATTATTTGACAACCATGCATGAGGTAAGTAAAAGGAAACACAAAAAATCCTATATATAAAAATCCGAAAAAAGTTGAAACATCAATTTCAAATGAATCTAGATAATAAAATGGGTGTGACGATAAATTGAACAATATATATTTGAAATTTAAAAGAGTGGGAGTTTACAGAACTATAATAGTAAGTGTTTAACCCACTGAACAAACATTGTCCAAGATGGCCGATCAAACAGGGCTTAAATTAAAGGTGTTAAGGAAATTGCCATGGAATGTAACCTCTATATAGAGTTTAAGTACTGCTCGTGATGCAATTTTGTCCGCCTATCATTCATCATTCCCGCGCAGTGAGCTTAACATGAAATCAGGATTTTAAATCTTCACACCCATGATACTGTTACAATACTGTTAATCGATTTTTACAATATGAATTCTTATAATTTCCTACTTTTTCTTTGTATTCTTTTTAACAGGATGAAAATTTACATGATGTTTTACAAATGTTAATATCATTGATGTCGGAGCATCCAAGCTCTATGGTACCTGCTTTTGATGTTAAACATGGTGTTAGAACTATATTTAAATTATTGGCTGCTGAGAGTCAGCTGATACGCTTACAAGCACTGAAATTATTAGGATTCTTTTTATCAAGAAGTACATACAAGTAAGTATGCGTACTATGCAAGACATGATTTTATTTCAAATTTCCCTCCATCAAATGTATCTCTCAGGTCAAATTTTTTCCACACAACACCATGAAATATGACTCTACATCAATTTTTATTTTTTTCGATTTTTTACATTTTTCTTTCTTCTTACTCTCTGCTTTCTTTTGTTTGCTTGATTGTAACGTTTCGCCATTTCTTTTCATTACAGACGAAAATATGACGTTATGTCGCCACACAATTTATATACATTATTAGCGGAACGTTTACTTTTGTACGAGGAATCATTGTCGATGCCAACATATAATGTGCTATATGAAATTATGACCGAACATATATCACAGCATATTATGTACAATAGACATCCGGAACCGGAGAGTCACTATCGCTTAGAGAATCCAAGTAAGTATTAAAAAAAGGAGAATAAATGGAGGAGAAAACATTTTTATAATAATTTAATAAAATGAATGGGAATTATTGTTAATGTACGTTAGACCAATTAAATTTTTCTTGTCAAGGACTATTAGAAGGGCTTTTATATCGACGAGCAACGATTTTTTAAAATTGTGTGGATTTTTTAAAGAATATCTTTTCAAGGGCTATAATAGGCGTGGATTTAAAGAATATCTTTTCACGGCCTATAATAGGCGTTGATATTTTAAAGAATATATTTTCAAGTACTAAAAGAGACGTAGATTTTTAAAGAATATCTTTTCAAGTACTAAAAGAGATTTTTAAGGAATATATTTTCATGTACTAAAAGAGGCATAGATTTTTAAGGAAAATATTTTCAAGTACTAAAATAGTCGTAGATTTTTAAGGAATATCTTTTCAAGTACTACAAGAGGCAAAGATTTTTAAGGAGTATATTTTCAAGTACTAAAAGAGTCGTAGATGTTTAAGGAATATCTTTTCAAGTACTAAAAGAGGCGTAAATTTTTAAGGAATATATTTTCAAGTACTAAAAGAGGCGTAGATTTTTAAGGAATATCTTTTCAAGTACTAAAAAAGCGTAGATTTTAAAGGAACATCTTTTCAAGTACTAAAAATAGCGTCGATTTTTAAGGAATATATTTTCAAGTACTAAAAGAGGCGTAGATTTAAAAAAAAATATTTTTTCAAGGACTAATATTGTTTAATATTAATTTTTCTTTCTCCCTCCCTTCCAGTGATGCTCAAAGTTGTTGCCACGCTAATACGGCAATCGAAACAAACCGAATCCCTTATCGAGGTGAAGAAACTCTTCCTCTCCGATATGACTCTGTTGTGCAATAGCAATCGGGAAAATCGCCGAACAGTTTTGCAAATGTCTGTGTGGCAGGAATGGCTTATTGCCATGGCCTATATTCATCCGAAAAATACCGAAGAACAAAAAATATCCGATATGGTATATTCACTGTTCCGTATGCTTCTGCACCATGCAATTAAATATGAATATGGTGGTTGGAGAGTGTGGGTTGACACTTTGGCCATTGTCCATTCTAAGGTGTCATATGAAGAATTCAAACTGCAATTTGCCCAAATGTATGAACATTATGAGCGTCAGAGAACAGATCAGATAACTGATCCTGCATTGAGGCAGGCCCGCCCTATTAGCACCATTAGTGGTTGGGAGCGAGAAGAAATGCAACAGCAACATGGTAGCGGTAATGTGGTACATAATGCCACATCGGTGGCCTCATTGGAGGATGTACCACCCGTGGAGGAGGATGTGGAAGAAATGGATATGGAAGAGGAGTCCACACAACCCGATGAAGAGATTGAAGAAACTGTGGAAGAATCGAAGTGTGCTTGTACTAGTGAAGAAGCTGCAACCCCTGCCCCCGTGTGTGAAGAAAAGTCAACAGGGGTGGATCAGGAAGAGGAGCAGACAAAGGAGGAGTTACCCAGCGATTCAGCAGCTGCCATTAAGTCAAGTATATCTAACATAAGTGATGTCTATAATGAACATATAAAATCTGAGGTTTTGGTGGTCGCATCTACCCAATGTAATGGTAATGCCTCCTCCACCTCTACAAATACCAGTGCTAATAACACACCCGCCAAAACAGCCGCCACCACAACCAACACCACGGCAGCCAGTGGCCCTGAAGCCTTAAAGAAGACCCTCAACATTGATGACTTAGAAGAATTGGAATTGGAAAATGCCAAGGCAGCAACCAGCGAGGAAGATGCCGAAGCCCATGTCCAAGAGGTTTTGAAAAACTCCGAAAAGGTCCTGCAAGAATGTAAACTTGTGGCCGATGAAATGCAAGAGGCTTCATCGGTTATAAAGGACGAAGAAATCGAATTGGCTGTCAATGAAGTTGTACAGGGTGTTTTGAACAATGAAAAGAAACAACAAATCAAAGAACCGTCCATGGAAACATCGACAAAGGCAGAAGCAGGAGAAGACGAAGAGAAAGTGAAAGAAGAGGAACAAAATGTCGAGGACAAAGTATCACTGCTCAATACCAAGAATTTGCTGAACAATAATGTAAGCGAAACGACGGAGGCAACAACACCAGCTACAATTACCGATAACAACAATGTTAACAATAACAATAATGCCGAGGCAAATGCCGAGGCCCCGGCAAAGGAAAACGACACACCTAATACCATAGACAATGCCAATAAAGACGATGACGAAAACGAAACTAAAAAGACTGAACAAAAATCCGAAACTAATCAAGAAAATCTTTTAAATAATAATGAACTAAAAACGGACACAGAAACAAAAACAACAGCAACAACACCAACAGAGGAAGCATCCGAACAGCAGGCCGTTGAAGAAAAGAAAGAAGAGGAAATCGCTTCGGTAAAACCCAATGATTTAGCCGAATTGGAAGTTAGCTCTTCACTATCCACGACCATTACAACTGGTGAAACTTCGGAGGAGATATCCTCGCTTAGTCCTGACACCACAATTTCAAGTCCCTCTATAATGGATGATGCCCCCATGCTGAGTATTAATGAAGACACCACTGAAGAAACCAAAACTGAGGCTGCTGTTGTCAAAGATATTGTCGATGAGTTGATTGACAAGGTCATTGAGAAATCTGTCGAAGAAGAACAAGGCGAAGATGAGGATACCAACAACAATGGTGTTGAAAACAAAGAAACAGAAACCGAAGAATCTATAAATGAAGCGACTCAAGAAATCATCAATGATGTGGTACAAACTGTGGTGGAGGAAGCCAATAAAGCTGAAACAAAAACTTCTGAAGAAGCTACAACCTCAACCACTCCCACACCTGAGGTACCCGAAAAAGAAAATGTTGAAGCCATTGTTCAAACTGTCGTCGATGATTTGGTCGAACAAACTGTCACCAGCATTGTTGACAATGCCACCAATGAAGCTGAAACTGAAATTATTGAAGAAATTTCGGAACAAGTTGCCGAGTTACATTTGGAAGATACGTCTCTAGTAGAACAGACCGAGGAAGAAACTCAAACATCGGCAGCTGAAGATTTAGAAGCTACAGTGACATCACAGCAATTATTGCAGGAGAAGTTGGACGATGTACGCATCGAAGACGATGAATATATTGAAGATGAAGACGGTGGCGTCAGTCAACATGAACAGCAGACACAAACTCAACAGCCAGAGGATGTGGTCAGCGATACTGTTGAAGATGCTCAGGAAAGCCATCATCAGCAAAGTGCTGGTACTCAAGTTGAAAATCAACATTTCGGTAAGTTTGAAAAGCAAATTTTAAAGATATCATTATAAAATTATTACATAATATGGGAAATTAAAAAAAAAGGAAGAGAATTCAGTATTTTGCGAAGTAAAGCAGTAGTTAATTTCGATATCAACCATATGTTTCGCATTCAAGACTCCTAAAATCAGTTGTAGGATATATTATTGTAAATTGTCGGTCGGGATATTTTTATCCTTTGAGAAACCCAAATGAAAACGAAAATGATGTGGGTTCTTTATATGGGGGCTATCGCCAACCAATGTTACAATTGTCCGTGTGGCAGGAAAGATTAATTGTCAGGGCACAGATAAATCCGTATCATCCTCCATCATGCCATTAAATATGAATATTTGGTTGGAGAGTGTCGGTGTATACTTTGGTCATTGCCTTTTCCAAAATCTCCTATGAAGAATTCAAACTGCAACTTGCCCAAATGTATGAACATTATGAGCGTCAAAGAACAGATCAAATTCTTGCATTGAGACAGACCGTCCTATCCGTACCATTGGTGGTTGGGAAGGGTTAGAAATGCAACAACAGCATGGTAATGTGATACACAATTCGTCATCGGTGGCCTCGTTTGTTATATAGATGACTATGTTGAAATATGAACCTATATTACAAAATCCTGAATGTCGAACTACACCCACTTTGGGCGCTATATCAGAATATGCCATTTTACCGACAATTGTCTGTGACAATTTTGTTTACTCGTCAAGAACACAGAATTGCAGCCATTTTTGAAAAAAACAGCGAAATTTAAAATATCGAAAATAGGGTCAAAATGTCTAGACGGTGGCTATTTCAAAACTAGGACATATATAGACAATTTTCTAAAAGAAATATTTTTATCCTGCAAATTCCATTAGGCTATGTAAAAAATAGTCCAATAACGAACCCGTCAATATTCCGAAAAGTCAAATAATTGTCACATCCATTGAAATGCGCTTAAAACTCTTCGAAATACCGAAAATGCCTCTTTCACACAATTTTTGCAAACTTTCTTTCACCCTGCAATAACCAGTAATGCCAAGTTACAGCCAGTTCGGTTTTGAAAATATGAGAAACATGGACATATATCGAATATTTTATGTAAATGAGGATTTTACCCTCCAAGAACTCACTATGCCCCAATTATCTGAACCTATGCCACCCTCCAAGAATTCGGAATTTCGAATGGCTGTCTCATCGGTTAGAAAATGCGGTTAAAAACTTCAAATCATCCGACTTATATCGAAGATTTTCTGCAAAAATATTGCTTATCCTCCAAGAACTCACAATCCCAAATTAAGCCAATGTGGCGGGTACAGCCCACTTGAAACGTTTAAATTACTGAAAAACGGGTTGGACCCCTATATGAGAGTAATGTCAAAACTGAATATTCGCCCTCCAAAACCCCGAAATTACGAATTACAGCCTCATCGTTTTGAAAATGCGCTACACCCTTTAAAATAACCAAAACTTAGAGGGTGATGTTATATAAGGGCTATGCGAACTCTGTGGATATTTTTGTGAAGTTGTCAGTTCCCGGTGTTACTGTCCTCTGAGTTGAACGTGTGCTTAGAGACTGAGGCACAAAGACAATCAAACATGGGGGATTTTGGTTTAAAAATTTCGGAATCCATTTATAATTCAGTAAAAAAACTAACTAATACTTATTAAGATGTCCAGGTATCAAGCATCGTTCAAATTATATCGAACCACAGATAATCTTTCAGGGTAGGAGCACAGAAACCCATGAATACTGCCTCCGAGACTATCTTTTTATTATCCCCCTACTGAGCTTCCCACAATCCGCAACTTGTGTGTGCGATCTCTATAGAGATTTTAGTGAAGATGTGACACTTCAGTCGAAGTTTTTTTATTTTCAATTTTGAGAATCCCATCGTCGTCGAGTAAATAAAGGACTTAATCCCGACATGGCGCCCAAAACTTCTGGTAAACAAATTGGCGTGTATCCCTCCGAATAATTCGTTCTATGGTGCTCTTGCCGAAGAAACACCCAATCAATTGCCTCATCGAAGTATTTCTTCCTCGAACAATTTCCGTTTAAGGGGACCCCCCCATTCTCGGGGTCAAATTTTTTTTGGTTTAATTCGATTCTACACTAATTCAAGAATGTCTCTACAAAATTTCAAGAGAAAATCTCAAGAACTCTTGAAGATATATCCGATTTATTGTGTCAGCATTAAGTGACGGCTAAAAGGCTTCTCAAACTTTAAACGCGTTTTTCTCTTTTGCGGATGGCGGGCACGATAACTCAAAAACTAATAACCCAATCGATTCCAAATTTTTACAAGTTTCTCTGCGAGTGTATAGCTATCGTATGAACTAGGATAAAGCCAATCGGTGAAGATCTTCCTTATTTTTTAACTTGGTTTATGGTAAAAAATCGGCAATTTTCCAAAAACATTTTTTCAAAGGTCTGCCATTTTGTTAATTTTAGAGCGAAGTCAATAATCCTAGTTCATACGAGAGTCAGACATGTACTCTTTCTAACACCGTTGGAATTTTCGGATTCCGATGTTTCAGTGAGGAGTTATCATGCCCGCCATCAAAAGGACTTCTCTTTAATTACAAAAAACAACAACAAAACAATTACCAAATTTTTTTGTAAATAATTTTCCTCTCTTTTAAATCTTCAAATATATTTGTGCAAAGTTACAAACCTTAACAAACATTGGTATTGATTTACCAGCCCATTGAAAATCTTGAAAAATTAAAATCGATAATGGGTGGGGTTCCCTTAATTTGATTCATCTTCGAAGACTCGTAGGGTAGATTGTAGACTTGTTTTGACAAAAAATGGTCCATTTAAATAAACGCCCACATAAAGACGCCGAGGCTAAAAGGTCTTCTAGCAGATAATGTTCTTGAAGGTTATGCCTAGGCACGTATTCGAACCTAAATGCCCGTAATTTGATATTTATATTTCTCAAAGTGTAAAATCCTCCTGTCATATAATATTCTGTGTAAGTCCCTGCCTTGTCGGCATTTATATCATTTGGTCTTTCCAGATATGAGGAACTATGATTTCCTATCATTTGGGTTCACTAAAATTCGCATTCCAAACTTTACACCATTTGTACCTTGTTTAGATGTTGGATACGAATTCTTTGTTACTTCCATATGGCCTGATGATTTCGAGTGAATTTTATTGTAATTTTTTTTTAAAGTTTTTTTTTTATAATTTGAGATTTCAAATCATTTTTTAAAGCATTTTTTGAACAGTTATAGGTTCCCAGTAAATGAAAAATCCAAGACTGGACATTTTCTTAATCTATTCATATTATTTCGTTTATTGTCAGGGCATTTCTTTGTAGGACCCATTCTTGCCTTATGTTCACGGCCAATTAGCATTTCGTGCCTCCAACTCCATCTAGTAACGCATGAAATATACCGCATGACAATGACAGATAGATAGACTCTGTAGCATTTCTTTCGGTGCCTTGAGGGTATTCTCTCACACAGTTAACGCTTCGTTAAAACTAAAGATTATGCATATAAAATGTAAGCTCAACATACATTTCTGTGCGAATGGTTGTTCTCAAAACCCATAGAGAACAAAAATCAAGGCAAAACCAAATTCCCTGATGCTCATTAAATGCAAAGTTACAAATGTGGTAGCACAACAACTACTACATGAACAATATTTTTTATAGTTTTCATTGTGGTATTTTTGGTGGGTGGGTGTGTTAATATTTGTTGAGAATTCCCAAAACACACATACATTCCCAGACACCCACTCCCACCACCCCTCCCACATGCATACATCCTTGCAATTAAACAAATCTCAATGGTTGGATAATAGAAAAGAGAAAATATGGAAACCCTCCAAGGATACAAACAAGGAACATCAGAAATGGGAGGAGGTGAATGGAAGTTTGTATTGTATGCATTGTGTGCAGCAGCTAAATTAAGTCTATAAAACCATTGTTTACTTGCAATTAAACTGAAATTTACGACACATTAAACAATGCCTGACGGCGTTTTACGAACCAACTCATATGTCGACACAACATTTTGTAGAATTTTTGATACAATGTAAATATTTGCACAAATTAAACTGAGAGTTCTCTAACACATTTCTTTCTCTCTACTTGTTTTTTCTTCCCCAATTTTAGACAATGCCAAACAACAACAACAACAGCAGCAACAACAACAACAACCGACAACACATCCTCAACAACAACAACAGCAGCAGCAACAATCCCAGCAACAGCAACAACGTTCCAAATCCGGCTCAACTCGTCCCATGTTTAGTCCCGGTCCAACACGACCACCCTTCCGCATACCCGAATTCAAATGGTCCTACATACATCAACGTTTACTATCGGATGTTCTGTTCTCATTGGAAACGGATATTCAAGTCTGGCGGTCACATTCCACCAAAAGTGTTCTGGATTTCGTCAATTCCAGCGAGAATGCCATATTCGTTGTGAACACCGTCCATTTGATATCACAATTGGCAGATAATTTGATAATTGCCTGCGGCGGTCTGCTGCCATTGTTGGCCTCGGCCACATCGCCCAATGTAAGTTCAAACTTTTGAAAAGTTCGTATGTACATAGTGTTGTAATTGTACTTACTTGAGAATGGGATGGGTTCTATGCAGATTTACTTTGTGTGTGGGAGAATGTAAGTAAATATGAAAAGCTAATTATGGAAAATCTGTTCTGAAAGCAAATAGGTATTAGCTAGGTACACATATTTAAAACTATTTGATTATCAATGTTAAATGTTTGTAAATTAAATTCTAAATTAAAGATGTAAAACTTATAACAGGGGCAGTGATGTCAAAAGAAAGTTATCCTGAGAAGGAAAAAATTAAAAAAATATTTTGGAAAACTCCGAAAATTATTCTAGAACTTTGTTTTTGTAATATTTTTCTCACGACTACAAAATACGTCTTGATTTCTACAAAATGGAATTTTTAAGGGATATTCTTGAATAGTTGTAGGTTCCATGGAAATGAAAACAAATGTTATAAACCGAGACTATGGATATTCTTAATCTACTCCTATTATTTTGTATTGTCAGGGCAATTTTTTGTGGGACCCATTCTTCTCTTTTTTTACAGCCAATTAGTATTTGAAGCCTACAACAGTAAACAAATGTTGAAAAAAACCGAATATTATTAGAAGTTTGATGTTGAAATAGAATATTTTTTTAAGGCTATGAAATGTTTGGGGTTTTTAAAGCTTACTTTTTCTAGGGTTAGGAGGCGTAGATTTTTTGAAGATTATTTTCCAAGGGTTATAAAAGATTTGATTTTTATAAAGAATATTTTTTCTAGGGTTATCATATACGTGAATTTTTAGAGAATATTTTTCTAGAGTTATCAGAGGCATGGATTTTTTAAAGAATATTTTCAAGTGTTATCAGAGGCGTGATTTTGTACATGATATTTTTTTAGAGCTACAGTGCTTGGATTTTTTTTCAATTTATATTTTCTAGAGGGCGTAATATTTTTAAATGTAGTTTTCAATGATTATAAGAGGTGTGGGTTTTTAAAGAATATTTTTGTTGTTATAAGAAGAATTGGTTTTTTAAGAATATATTTCTGGGGTTATGAGAGGCCCGGATTATTTAAAGAATATATTTTTCTGGCTTTAGAAGAGGCTTGGACTATTTAAAGAATATATTTATGATACCATAAGAGGCCCTAATTTTTGTAAGAATATTTTTGTAGGACCATAATATTTATTTTGGGATTTCGAGAGGCATGGATTATTTAAAGAATATTTTTTCTGGGGTTATGAGAGGTGTGGATTATTTAAAGAATATTTGTGGAGAACCATATTTTTTAAGTAATATTTTTTCCGGTGTTATGAGAGGCGTGAATTATTTAAAGAATATGCTTATGGAACCATAAAAGGTCTGGATTTTTATAAGAACATTTTTGGAGGACCATAAGAGGTCTGGAGGTTTTAAAGAATATATTTTCTCTGGGGTTATGAGAAGCTTGGATTATTTCAATAATCAGTATAGGTTTATGTTTTTCTTTTTGCAATATAGTCAGGCTGAATCCCAGTTTGTTGTTTTTATAAAAAACAACTTTTTATTAGTGGGGAATGTATGGCATAGTTTGCCGAGGGGTAAGGCAGGGAAGACTATAGTTTCGGATCACGCCACTGATCCTCATCAGTTCCCTTAGTTTTTCGTTGGGATATTCTCCCCAGAAGCTATTGCTTCTGTACAAAAAACCTTTCATACCCAAATGTCTCTTGTAACAAAGCGAAGTACTTAGCTGACCAACGACATAAACTGCATGAGAATTTCGCTGGAGCCTCACTTCGAGGTTAACAAGGCATTTACAAACAATACCACACCTTTCCCACTGTTGTGTGTTGTCACATCGCGACAAATGCACACAATAGTTGTTTTTTTATAAAAACAACAAACTGGGATTCAGCCTGACTATTTTGCAAAAACAAAATACAAATGGTATCCGAAATAAACATCCAACACTACTGTTTATGTTTTTCTTCTGAGGCAACTGCAGCATTTTCTGCCCGATGTGGCTGTAATTTTACATTTTATCTTTAAACATTAATTTTTCAATATAGGTTCACGTTTTAACTTAGCCTCCATAAATAAGGTCCTATTTTCTTCATTTTAAAGTTTTTGGCTTCTTAAACATATTTGAAGAAAATTGTCATGTTTTACTTCTGAAGTTATTGCTGCATATTCTGCCCGAAGTGGTTGTTATAGGTCCACGTTTTGATATTGCCTTCATAAAAAAATCACTTCCTATTTTCTTTAATTTGACATGTTTGGCCTCATTTTCTTAAGGAATTGACTAATTTTGCACTGAAGAATGAAAACCATTGTCGTAGAACATTTTATTTATGGACCCATTTGTTCACATAGCCTCCATATAAAATGTCCTTTCTACTTCGGTTTTTGGAAGGTATTAACCGCATTTTCTTAACGGATTGTTTGTAATTTGCCGTTCTGTTTTCTTGGAGGGCGGTACCTTTACAGAACATTTTTAACATAGGTAAATTTTTCACATATAAATCCCACCATATTTTATTAATTTTGAAGGTATTAACTGATTTACCCATCGAAATGGCCTTAATTTGACATTTTGGGGTTCTTGGAGGGTGAGCAAAATATCTGCAGAAACGTCTTTGTTTTGACGTATCTTCTAACCGAATTTTCAGGTCCTAAAGGTTTCAGCCGCATTTTCCCAACCTAAGGTTAGGAAGAATAGGTTAAAAAAAAATCTTTGCAGAACATGTTTTGTAAAGGTCCAAATTTGGTAAATACGCACAACGTTCCCGTTTAATATTCTGTGTGCTAAAGTGTTCTTGGAGGGTGAACCTAATCCCTGCAGATACTTCTTTGTTTTTGAACTAATTTTCAAGTTTAAGTAACCTAATTTCCGAGCCCCTGAAGGTTTTAGCCTCATTTTCTCAACCTAAGGTTCGGAAAGATAGGTTAAGGTAGGTGGTTGGAAAAAATATTTGCAGAACATTTGTGACAAAGATCCAAATTTGGTAAATAAACTCTATGCTAAGTTTCCACATAATTTCCAGTAAAGTAATTTGTATTCAAATGCTAGACCGCTCCAGGTTGTACTTTCAAATGAATCAGTAGTATAGCCCAATAGTATTCTACATAAAATAATTTGTAGATTTGTAAAATAACACTACAGTTCGTACCTTCAAATTCAACTCACATCACACCTTCAACAGAAGTACTTTTTTCGAGCAAGGATCAATATACCCGGTATTGATCGTGTTGTGTTGCTCAAAGGGCTCATATGCATAGATTTATGAGTCATGACATGTGGGCGGTCTTATAAAAGTCTTTTTATGCACCGAGATAAATTTTTATTTTCGATATTTTTTGCACCCACTGGCACAAGCTTCTTAAGAATAATTGAAATTTTTTTTCGTAATCTAAAGAATGCGGATATTTTTTACGGCCAGATTTTCATGAAATGCCGAATGTTAGGTGATGGAAGAAATGACCAAGGATGTCTCTATTTTACGATATAACATCAAGATCTTGCTATCAGTTCACACATGGTGTAAGGGTTCTGGGACAGAACGGTCGATATTGGTCGACCTTAGACTTTAAACATGCGTCAGCCACGATTAAATTCATGTCGGAAAATTTGGAAAATTTAACCTGATCAGAACTTCATAGCCTCTTACTTTTACACTTTGATAAATCTTAGCTTCGAAGCATTTCAACAACATAATTTGCCACAACTCATTTGCCAACAATTTGAAGAAATTTTTTTTTAAAAATCCAATTTCATCTTATTTAAATGACACCACCAAAAACAAAATTAATTTTATTTTAACTTCACCTGCAATTTAAATTAAATTTTTCATTTTTCCCCCATTGACTTTTTCAATTAATTTCATTTCATTTTTTTACTTTTAGTCTGAACTTGATGTACTGGAACCCACCCAAGGTATGCCACTGGAGGTGGCTGTATCATTTCTACAGCGACTTGTCAACATGGCTGACGTGTTAATTTTTGCAACATCATTAAATTTCGGTGAATTGGAAGCGGAGAAGAATATGTCCAGCGGTGGTATATTGCGACAATGTTTGCGTCTCGTCTGTACGTGTGCGGTGCGAAATTGTTTGGAATGCAAGGAGCGTACACGGTATAATGTTGGTGCAATGGCACGAGATGTGCCCGGAGCAGCTCATTTACAAGCGCTGATACGTGGTGCACAGGCTTCGCCTAAGGTGAGTTTACAAAAAACAACATACACAAACATACACATTTACAAAATAAAACATGGGGAAAACAAAGGTCTGTGTTGTTAAATTTCATTTTTAGTGAACAAGAGTACGTCAAAGTCATACTGATTGTTCGTTCGTTCGTCCGTCCTCGACCAGACACGTACCAAAAATGCCAGTCTACCAACCAGTCAACCCGTCAGGCTGATCACACAGCAAATTGTGGGCCAAAGAATTTTCGGGAGCATGGGAAATGTTGTTTCCCCTCCTCTAATAGTGTGTTGTTAAGAGGCATTATTATTGTGCCCTTTACATCTGGTATTTGTTTTCCCTTTTCTGTCTCCATTTGTTGATTGAGAGGGATAAAGAGAAAAAAAGAAGAAACTCTTCGCTTTATGGCATGTGATACTGCACTTGCCAGCATCACTTCTTTCACGAAATATTCAATTGTACTGCTGCCGCCATTGTTGTAGTCCTGGTGATGTTTGGTTGTGTGGCTGTCATTAAATGGGAGCCTTGCCAAGAAGAAAATGGATGAAATTGGCAGTAAGAAAATGCTGCATAATTGTTGTTGTCGTTGTTACCATGACACAAATGGCTTGGAAAGTACCAAACAAAAGCCAACTACATATCGGGTTGTTTAAAGGCAAACGGAAATTGGGTGGTTATACCCTCTACAGGGTTTTGGATATTGTGCACAACAAAAGCCAAGATCTACGACGTTTTGCCAAATATGATACCTTCCTTGGTTTTTGGTTGTCCGCCAGTACTCTTCATTGGCTTGTCGGTGTGCCTGTCTGTCCGTCGTCCGTCCGTCTATCGTTCATTGTCATTGTGGACACTTGTCAAAGCAATGTGAAATTTGATGTTGCACACAAAGTGCAAGAGTTGTAAGGTACTCTATTGTTGAGATCGACTACTTGAATTCAAGTCTTGCTGTGGCCCCTTTTGTGCCATAGTTGAATCTATTGAATTTGATGTGAACTTATTTTATTTGTTGTTATTATTTTTTATGTCTCTACTGTTTTCATATATTCTTATTTATTATTTTTTTTTCTGCTCGTTTCTTTTGTATTTTCTAGAACATTGTCGAGTCAATAACAGGTCAATTATCTCCTGTTAAGGATCCTGAGAAATTGCTACAAGACATGGATGTAAATCGTTTAAGAGCTGTTATCTATCGAGATGTGGTAAGTAATGGCTATTGAGTATTTCTTTGTTCATTGTTGTATTTTTTTATAAAAACACAAAAAATATATATTTAAATTTGAAAGTATTTAACAGTTTCCTCCCATTGCGGGATATGCTCTCGGGGGTGGTGACCGAGAGTGAAAGGATGTATTTTTAGTTTTCAAATTCAGATTACTTCGCTTTATTTAGAAACTTAAACTGATACAAAAATTCTTTATACTTAAATTTTTGAAGTCCTCAACGTCTGGTTCCGATATACTACTACTCAGGTACGGCTGTTGGTATCACAAATAACTGAAGACGGATTAGAGAGGATTTGAGGGTTTCTTCTGCTTCCTTTTGTCGCTTTTAAAGGTTTAAATACTTTTCTATGAAGGCTCACGACAGCTCTTTATTTCCAATCTGCTATAAATTATTTTTAAATATAGGCTCACGACGGCTCTTTATTCCGATTTGCTTAAAATCACTTTGGATAAAGGCCCACGACGGCTCTTTATTTCGGTTGGGTTAAAATTACTTTTCCTTAGATAAAAGCCCATGACGGCTCATTACTTCGGTTTGCTTAAAATCACTTTTTTGTATAAGGACCGTGACGGGTCTTCTGGATAACCGAAGAAATATTCGTATATAAAGTATCTCTATGCAATTTTCGGATTTTGAAAATTAATCAATATTCTTCAAAGTCGAGAAATTTAATCCCTGAACCTGTTCGACCTTTTTCGGATCGTTTCGCAAAATGAACGTGGCTGATTTCAATCTTCCTTTTTAGTGGTAGACATCAGTTAATTCGGTCAATGAACGGGAAGATGTAAATAAGCAAACTGGTAGTAAAATGAACTAAAATCAAGAAGCGCAGACGTTCAAATAGACGGATTTTTCATCAAGCGATTCGTTCATCAAGTGGCTCGATCTTGTTCGGTTCGCTCCACAAAAGGGGCTACGTTGTTCTTTTAGTTTCATAGTTCCTCAAATTTTAAAATTGTATACATGTGTGAGACTTGAATCGGAATAAATGGGCAATAAATTTCATATTAAAAAAAATAACGAACGGAATAAAAGGAATTAAATAAAACAGGAACGACCGGATCAAACGGAACTAGTGCAAAAAGCACCGACTGTAGCAAAAGTAACAAGATGAACGAAAGAACAAGACCTATTACCGATCGTTACTCTCCCCGATCGTTCCTTACCTCTCCCCGTTGTAATCCCAGCCACAGGAAAATCAGTTCGACGGGGAACAGAAATTTGATCATTTATCGCATAAATATCCGTCCAACTCTTCTGATATTCGGATAGCAGAAAGGATTGCATATACGATTCCTGCAACAGCGGACAAATATATAACGCTGGTCGAATATGCAAAGTTGTCCAGCAAGTCAAATTAGAATGATGGGTTATGTCCGCAAATCAGGAATCGAACACTGAAAGTGAACAGTTGGCATTGGTTGACGTAATTGTATATTTAGAACTTCGCTCTACTATACCACTATTTGCGCTCATTTTTCACTCTCTCCCTCTATATTTTATTGACAAAAACAAATGCATTTTTCCGAAGATTGG